TACTCTCAAATTATAATTATAAAACTCTACCAAACGCAACCTTAACTTTTTTTTAGTAATGACACCCGTATTTCAAATTCTAAAACAACCAAAAAAGGAGATAGTGACTATTAAAAAAGAAATTATCAAATCCTACCTCACTTGAACAATAAAATAAAATGTGTCACACATAATTTTTACAACCTCGCTACGTAACTCGAAAGAGTTTGGCTCGAATTTGGCTCGACACCAAAACGACATCGTTTTGGTGTCTTTTTTTTTTTTAATCTTTTTTCCCTTCTCTCTGGTCTGAAACTGAGACGAAGAAGAAGACGAAAGAAGAGGAGGGGGACGAGGAAGAAGGAGGAGGACTGGAAGGGGCATAATCACAAGGGGAGGAGGAGGCGGAGGCGGGGCCGGAGGCGGAGGCGGTGGTGCTGAGACGATTGGCGGCGGCGAGGCGACGGCGGTGGTGCTGCGACGATCTCCTCTCTTCCTCTCTCTTTCTCTCTCTCTCCTCCTCTTTCTCTTCTCCTCTCTTCTTCCTCTCTTCTCTCTCTCTTTCTCCTCTGTCTCTGTCTTCGAATTTGAATTCGAGCCAAAATCGGGCCACTTTTTTCGAACTACCAATCATTTTCGTAATTTTTAATACTAAAACGTGGGTAATGGTTTGGGAAAATATGTTGTGGGAATTGAAAAATATTTATCTTAAATTAATTTTATAGAATAATATTGAAAGCAAAACAGATTCTTTTAAAATAGGTTTTCACAATTCGATATAAACTATACATATAAATATATAACAGAATAAGTAAAAGATGAAAGAATTCAGAAAGTAGCCTGTGTTCGAATTTGAATTCGAGCCAAAATCGGGCCACTTTTTTCGAACTACCAGTCATTTTCGTAATTTTTAATACTAAAACGTGGGTAATGGTTTGGGAAAATATACATAAAAAAAACTCTTTCATACAAACTAACCTAAATTTTCCACTCCTTCCTCGTTTGGTAATCTTCAGTTTTAACTAAAAAAATTAAAAAGTTACTATAAGTTGTTATATCATTCTCTAAAATAGTATGTTTCCAAATGAGAGTGTCAAGGTAAAGAGATTTTTTATCTCCAAATCTCTTTATCTTTGTCTCTAAACGCTTAAAATTATTGAATCTTATCTTGAGATTATTTTGTTCAAAATTTTTAATGATCCAGTTATTGTTGTGACTAGTGAGGATTTTTGTGATACAAGGATAGGGAGATTTGGCTGGGTCTCAAGCATATAAAGCATTTTTGGTAATTAATTGGGATGCATCACAGCATGGAAGGGGAGACATTATTATTGTCACTTTGTTGAAAAGCAACGACATGTGAATTACTAAAATCAAAACACACATTACAACTTCTGTGGAAATTTCATCTGTATCGGAGACATATACAAAGTGTATTTGTTCCCTTGTTGGTCAGGCTATAAATACATATGAAATCACGTATTATTCTAATTCTTATATAGTTTAAATTGATTTTGCAGACCACATCATGATATTACAGAACTGTTGCCTACTAATATCAAATGTCTTTCAATTATATTCAGGAAATCATGAGTGAGAGTTTGAAAGAGAAAATCGTGTAGTGGATAATCTTCGTTTGGCATGCCAGACTTTTTAGTTATTTTGGCTATTTTAGCACAAAATGACAAAATAGATTTTTAATTTGATAAGACAAAACATTACATCCAAACTATAATTATTTTATTTTCTCTCTCACAAAGTCAAAAAAGCCAAAAACATATCTCAAACAAGACTAAAACGAGACTTTTTAACTCTAAGTTAAAATAACCAAAAAGTCAACTCACATCCCAAACGAACCCTATAGTAATTTTTAATTTAATCCTTATAGTAACCATTAGTCAAGAAAAAAATATGAAAAAAATGAAGTGTTATTGTTCTTGTTTGGGAAGTTGACTATTTTAGTAAACTATTTAACTATTTTAGCTTGACTAAAAAAGTTGTGTTTGGAAAGTTTGTTTGTTTGTTTTAGTTGATTGATGATTGTGAGAAAAAAATAAAATGATTCTGAATTAGATGTGACATTTTGTCTTATTAACTATTATAGTCTATTTTATTTTTTACTGAGTTATTTTAGCCCAACCCTCCAAAAGTTTTTGAGAAAACATTTGAAAAAATAAATAAATTGAAAAACTCACAGTTTATGTTATTTGTTCAATAAATAATGTTATACATATAGAAGAAAAAAATCTTATAAAAGTATTTAAAATTTTAAATATATAAATTAAATTTATTTAAATATGATTTACATATTTTAAATTGTAAATAACGTTTTTTTGTTAACAAAAAAAATTATAAATTACATTAATCATTTAAGAGTAAAAGCGTATGGTTTTAGGTATGACATTGTTTAAGTGTAACGTGATGCCCGCATGATCTAAAACGTGGCGCCCTACATTTGACGGTCAAAACTTCCTGCGTGGGACCCCGCAAGTAGTCGAGAAAGAACTGTGGCCGACTATTTCGTTGACCTTCACTCATTTCCCTTCTCACGTGGAATGCGCCGGGCCAATCGGGGAGGTGGATTTGTGGAACGAGTCAAACCTACTTATGACATACACTGGACTCTCTCTCTCTCTAACAAATCCCCTCTCTCACTCCTTCTCCCTCCCATCAAAACACTGACACCTGTCCACTTGACGCACCACCTTACCTCACATTACCCCTAACCAAAACGGTCCAAACCATTTATCTCTAACAATATAATGCCTATTTATTTTAAAAAATAATTTCGAAAAAATTTCATAATTTAAAATGTTTGATTCAAATTTGTTTCCAATCTAATTCACATTTTATTAAATTTAAGTATTTAATATATATTCTTGTTATAATAATTTCTTTAGATTAATATTATATATAGAAAAATTACTCACCAATATTTGTTTGGGAGACATTTTGGAGGTTTAATTAATAATCTAACAAAATACATAATTTTATATTTGATTAAGAAAATTAATTTTCAACTCATACATGATATTTTCATATGAGGGAATGTTGAATTCCAAGAGCCATGTGATATACAAAATGAGAATTTAAAGAAATGTTCAGACTAATTAACTAAATTATAAAATTCATAACATTATGTCACACAATTAAAAAATAATAATATTTTAAGATTAAATTTTAATTGCATCTAATCCAATCTTTCTAAATAAACATAATCAAAATTAAGACATTTTTTTCTGAATGATTGTGTAACATCATTTTGTGGTGTGAGGTTATGAGTTTTCACTCCTATAGAAAGGAGTTTGATACTGTTTGTTGTGTTTATTTCTTCATGAATATGGGAGTTGTCTATAATTATTTTTCCTCCAATTTGTTGGGCTTTCTAATTGTTGGTATATTTTACTTGTTCCGGTTAATGTAATATTTTTTATATTTATAATTATTCTTCAGAAAAAAATAAATAAACATGATTGAAAGATGGTAAAACTTATATTAATAAATGCATTTTGACAACTATTCTTTCGTATCTAACCGTAAAAATAAATCAAAGAAAAAGATCCTTTCGTACATTACATCTAAGTATTTCTAATTTTTTTTTGAGTAATGCTAGAGATCTCAAAAATTTTACTAAATTTTTTTATCAAATATCTCTTATAGATATAAGACCCACATGAGGCAAATTTTTTATCAAATATTTCATATGAGTATGAAACCCACATATTTCCCACATAGTATAGATCTCACATCTCTATAAAAAAATTAGTAAAACTTTTAAATTCTCTAACATTTTGGTCCGTTTGATAACATTTACATTTTCAGTTTTCTGTTTATATTTACAAAAATTTTAAAAATTCAATAAAAACTTGTTTGGTAAATTTTTGATTTATAAATCAGTGGTCTTAGTATATAAATTTGGCCAAAAAATGTAAACTCAAAAAAATGTATTTCCGTTTTGAGTTTTGAGTTTTTTTTTTTTTTACCCAACACTAGCCATCACCCGCCACCATTTTCCACCACCGTCTTCTGCTACCACCACCCACCACCCACCACCACCTGCCACCACCATTCACCACCCACCTGCCACCACCACCCACCACCCGCTACCACCATCCACCAGCCACCACCCATCTGCCACCACCACTCACCCCTCGCCACCACCACCACCCACTACCCACCTGCTATCCACCTGCCACCACCAGCCACTACCATCCATCACCCACTCGCTACCAAACGCGAGGTTTTAATCCCTTTTTCTGCAATGTACACCAGTCTACCACTTCTGCATAAGTTGACAGTTTTAAGACCTCGAGCCTGTCTTTAATTTCAACATCCAATCTTGCTTCGAATTTTCTTGTTTTTCGAGTTTCGGTGGGGATGACGTATGTTGCAAACCTAGTGAGTTGAGTGAACTTGCTCTCGTATTCGGCCACCGTCATGGTTCCTTACTTTAGATGTATGAATTCGGATGCCTTCTATTCTTCCCCCTCCCCCCCCCTCCCCGCCACCGTCACCCCCCCCCCACCTGCCATCCGCCACCCACCTGCCACCACCACCCACTCGCTACCACCCGCCACCACCACCCGCCATCTACTCGCCACTACCACCCACCCACCACCACCCGCCATCACCACCACCACCTACTCGCTACCACCTACCACCCGCCACCGTCACCCACTCACCCACCACCACCACCACCCACCGTCACCACTTTCCACCATCGTCTTCCACCGCTGCCACTTGCCACCACTTGCCATTTCTCACTATTTTTTATATTTTTAAATTTTTTTAACATTTTGTTAACTACCAAACGCGTTTGTAGTTTATGTTTTTCTAAAAATAAATAAAAATCAATTTATAAATTTTTATAAATATAAACTGAAAACGTAACGATTACCGAAAAGACCTTTTTCATTTCATTTTCATATGATGACTCCTTTTCCATTTGGTCATTAGTCTTAGTCCTACTACCTCTTGTTAATGTCGAGCCCATTACACTTGTTAAAAGACTATTAATTCAAAGACTTTACTACTTCATACAATCTCTTTCTCTCTCTCCCTCTCTCTCTCATCCCAACATCTCTTAACTTGGTCATTTATTATTATGGTCAAGAAAGGAGAGGGAGTGAGAGACTGATCTCCTCCATTCAACCTGATCATCCTATCAAGCTATTGATTCATTTGTAAACTCAAAGCATCCCAACTTTCATTCAACCAAGAAACCATGGACACGGCATGTGATCGGATCATCGACAAGAGAGATGATCGTCGTGTTTATTCTCCGGGAATCTCAGGTGAGAAGCGAATTATGGATTTCTTCGCCGATCACAACAACTCTTGCAAGAAACCTCTAAGGGTTGATGTCAAGAAAGAGAGTACTGCTAATGATGGCGAGTCCTCACGAGGGTTCACAGAACTCGATGTAAGGTTTTTTTGTTTTTTTATTTATTTTCTGGAGTAGGTGAATCATCACATGTTTTTCTAGAATCTCTCTTTTCTGATGAGTTTTGTTGATTTTAGACTGGTTTAAATCTTCTCACCGCTAACGCGGAAAGTGACAAATCGGTGGTTGTTGATGAAACATCACCTAACATCAAGGAAAAGATAAGCACCAATAAGGTATGACAATTTGTCTCAATAATATCCACCTGAATTTTAATCTCTTAATTATAAGATTAATTACTTTTTACTTTGTCGTCGCCTCCATCTTCATAACAATCTTTCTTATTTGGTGCAGTTAGCAGTCCTGCAGGCCGAGATGGACAGGATGAGCACAGAAAATCAACGCTTGAAAAGCGCGCTGAATCAAATGAACAACAACTACTATGCCTTGCAGATGCATGTTGCAGCGCTGATGGAGCATCGACAACAGATCCGAAAAACCACGACAGTCGAAGAAAAACAGGTAATTTTTTGTTTAATTAACCCACAATAACTACATTCAAACATATTTTAATTTCCACAACAATTGATTGCTTTGTGTTCAGATGATCGATGTAACAGAGAAAAGGGTGGTTGCTAGACAATTCATGGATCTCGGTCAAGCAGCCATAGTCGAAAGAGACGATCCTTCGCAGAGTTTATCTGAAGAAAGAACTCAGGATTGTTCTGGATCGCCTCAAACGAACGTGTCAGTGATGAACGATCTGCAGAAGAATAGTGGTGATGAGATAGCAGCGTTTGATCCGACTAAGTGTGATCGTAGAGATGAGCAAAGGTTTGGGAGGGGAAAGAGCCCTGACGTTGCAGAGCAGACGAGAGAGGCGGCCATGAGGAGAGTCCGTGTCTCGGTTCGTGCACGATCAGAGGCAGCCATGGTAAGCTTCATCCAAGTGATTAATTTTTTATTTATTTATTTTTGGATCAACTACTCTGATTAAATCAACTTTAATTCGATGTTAAAAACAAAAACAAAAAACTTTAATTCGAATAAGAAAAATAAATTTTGAAATGATTAGTGTTAATCCATATTAATTGTACAGATATCTGATGGATGTCAATGGAGAAAATATGGGCAGAAGATGGCAAAAGGAAACCCGTGCCCCAGAGCCTACTATCGTTGCACCATGGCAGTCGGTTGCCCAGTTCGCAAACAAGTGTGTCCATCTTTTGCATGCTTATTTTTACTGTGATTTATCATTTAAATTAAATGTATTCGGTGAAAATAAATTAAATCTATTTGATGAATTCCTATCAGTTAAAAATTTAAATACCTTTTTAAAAATATGTTCAAATTTTGAGTCACATATTTTTTACTTAATTTTGATTGTTAAATCTTTAATAATTATGTTGCTGCTGAAATTTATTGTCATTTACACACTACTACCACCACCATTATTGCCACCATCATTACCACTATCACTGTCACTCCACCACCACCACCACCACCACCACCACCACCACCATCTCAACTATAACCACAACTGTCCCACCAAATCAACACCAACACAACTTCCTTTACTGCGGGCAATTGCCACTATTGCACCACTACCTTCACAATACAAGCACTACCGGCACTGCTCCCACAACTATCAACCCATTACCGGCACCTAAAAAATTTCAAATTCTAGCTTCCTTACATATTAAATAATTTGATTAAATTTAACACTTAAATTTCAATAAATATAAACAAATTTTCAAATTAAAAAAAAAAAAAACCACCATTCACTTTTCAATAATAAATTTTCATTTAGATCATATTTTAATTTTCACTAATTGGGGAAAGGGTATCTAACAGGTGCAAAGATGTGCAGAAGACCAAACCATCCTCACAACCACTTACGAAGGCAATCACAACCATCCTCTCCCTCCAGCAGCCATGACAATGGCATCAACAACCTCAGCAGCAGCAACAATGTTCCTCTCAGGTTCAATGCCTAGCTCTGATGGTCTACTCAACTCTCGAACTTTACTTTCTTGCCCACCAAACATGGCAACCATATCGGCCTCGGCTCCATTCCCTACTATCACATTGGACCTCACCAACAGTCCCAACCCCTCTCAGTTTCACAGACCACAAGGTCAATTCCACATCCCTTTTCCAAACATTCCTCAAAATTTCTCTTCTGGGCCTCAGATTCTTAGCCAAGCTCTGTACAACCAATCCAAATTTTCTGGTGTTCAGAGCTCTCAGGACATAATGAGTGCCATCACAACAGACCCCAATTTTACAGCAGCTTTAGTAGCCGCTATTACTTCGTTCATGGGCAATGTTCAATAAATATGTAGGCCCAGAACCAGCCACAGAATCAAAAACCCGTTGCTAAAAAGACTGCTCCACTCACGTTGCTCTACTGATATTTTCTGTGATCAGTTCTGTGGAAGGTCTTATTGTGAAATATTTATCTACGCAATAATAGTAGCTAGCAACATCAATTCTACAAGAAACAGCAAAGGCAGCAATATAAAAACCCATTTTTTGTAGATATTTTTACGAATGCATTGCGATTTGTGATTCTTCTTTGTCATGTACGAAAAATACAGTCTCATGGGTTTGCTTGCCATTTTATTTCTCTTCCTTTACTTTTTTTTGGTCGTTCGAGAAAGGTATTTACTATTTACAGAAATTTCGCTGTTCTTTTGTCTTCCTCCACGTTGAATAGGAGCATGCAAATTATGTGATTGTAAAAATAAATTGCTCACAGTGAACAGTCTGTAAAAATCTCTTTTCTCTACCGGCTTCGAATTATTTTTGTGGCTCTGCATGGAGTGTTTTTATATCTCTGTAAGTGAAGGAGAGAGCTTGGACTATGTCTCACGTAAAATGGTTGAGCTTGAAAATGCTATCCTTTTGTGAACAATCACATTCCTCCATTGACATTCTGCTACAGGTAAACCTTCTGCACCTGTTTGGATTCGATGATTTGGAAAAAAATAAATTGGGTAAATTATGTAAATAGTCACGGTAGTTTACACGATGTGTCAATTTAGTCTCTGTAGTTTTAATTTACTCGATTTTGCCCCTTAATTTAATGGATTGTGTCATTTTAATCCAATAAATAACTGTTGTTAAGTTAATTTAACGGAAGGTCAAACAATGTGTCAATTTGGTCTATGTACTTCACACGATGCGTCAATTTAATCCCTGTAGTTTCAATTTTCTCGATTTTGACAGGGACTAAATTGACACATTGTAGAAAATACAGGGACCAAATTGACACATTGTTTGACTTTTTGTTAAATTAACTTAACAACCGTTATTTATTGGACTAAAATCTGTTAAATTAAGGGGCAAAATTGAGCAAATTAAAACTACAGGGACCAAATTGACACATCGTGTAACATAATTTTTTCAAATAAATTTTTATTTAGAAAAATGAAAATGAAATTGGATTTCTCCTCCCAAATCACCTGAATGGAAATATTTTTCCTCTTAAAACCAACTTTTTAAATATCACCAAAACAAAATATTGGAGAGATTTGGAGAGCCAAAAAAAAATGTAATTAGTAGTTATCCATTTTACCTTTGCTTTTTATTGGAATTTTTGGTATTTGCCAGCCCTCGTTTGAGAACAGATTATTTTAATAATTTTTTGAATTTTTATAAAAAAAAAATGTACAAAAAAATAGAGATAATGATGTAATAACTAATAATGACTTTTTAACTAAAATATATAGTTGACAAAAACATCATTCTCTTTTTCTTTTTTATTTAATTCTTTTATTAAATTTTTGCTAATAGAGGACACTCCACTCTACATACTGTAGTTGGCATCAAGGGAGACTCGGGTGCCTAACTATAATTAACCATAGCAGCCTTATACATAGCCTAGTAGTGGTTGGGGCTGCCTTCCTAGTTCGTACTATGTTATTATGTGACTGAGCCCTTGATTTCCAATTTGATTGCCTAGAAAGTGTGGGATGGGACGAACCTACGATAATTAAAGAACTCAGCTTAATTTGAATTTTGAAAATAAGTTTCTATTGCGGTTATTAAAATCGAGATCTTATGTAGAATCAGTGAGAGGGTTTCTTGGATCGAATAGAACCGTAAGATTCTATTTTCTATTAAAAATAAGTTAAAAATAAAGATTAAGATGATCAATATTAAAAATAAGGTGAAAAAACATAAGTCTAGTGATCCTACTTATAATCATACTGCGATCCTATACGATTCTATACGATTCTACTATAATATTGATCCTACAACAATTTGGATTATTTTAACAATCTAGGATAGCTCGGATCGCAATTTTAATAACCATGATTTCTATATAATTTTCCTTTTTGAATGAGGTGGAAAATTCATAAGAATTATGAACCCCCATCAAAATTTCTATAGTTTTAGGCCAGTTTTTCGACATACTCAAAAAAAATATTTTAAATTTTATTTAAAAATAAAATGTGTCCATAACATTCAATCTGTCAGGAAATTTCCAAAATTTTATCTTACATTGTAATGTGTTGATAAGATTTTGTGGGGATATATTTTCTGAGTACCAACACGTGGCCAAGGTGACGCCAACGTGTTAGTCGGGGTGCCACGTGTTCTGGTCGTAACACTGAGGTGATCTCGGCTACGCCGAGGTTATCTTCGAAGATATCGGACCCCGGGATAAGTAGATAAGGGACAAGAGTCCTAGAATGAGGAAGAACTTCAGCTTGGATAAGAATAAAGCTCTTAGGGAGTTTATCTTTATCTATTGGAGAGTCCAAGATGAGCACTGAACATAAGTCCATTGAAGCTAGGCTTCTATTAGGACTAGGATTGAGTTGACTATAAAAGAGAGACACCTCCAATGGGTCTAAGGTACGCAATTTATATTCAGAATAGTGAGTAAGCACTATTGATTATCTTTAAGAGATATTTGATTACTGACTTAATCATCGGAGTGCCCCCGGGTGGACGAACCACCGCCGGAATCTCTTCTTTCTGTTGCAGGTCGTTCGGGTTTATCCTATTCTGCCAGTGCTCTCCAGTTGAATACTGAGTTGGCAGTATGGTCAGAAATTCACTCACACAATTTGACGCCGTCTGTGGGAAAGAAAGGAGAATAGATGGCCAACGACGGACAGAAAGAGAAGATTGGGGATAACACTCCTACTGGAAGTGGAAGACCTGTCAACCTTGACGTCGAAGAAGACAATTGCAACGAAGAAACTCGTGACCAGAATCACAGAGGAAAGGACGTTGGCCAGGAAGGCGACGTACCAAAGAAAACGGACCAAAGCGGGTATTACAACGAGGACAACCTCCAGGTGTGGAAAGAAAGATGCCTGCGGAGGGACGATGAGGTAAACACCATGGTGAACAAATTGGCGGACCTGCAAACAATGGTCAATTTCATGATGCAAAATAACGTCATGCAGCCACCGTTCCCACTGCAGGACATGCCAATTCTAGCGGCCAATGCCCAGAAGGGAGGGCAGAAAATAATCCCTGTAGCCCCCCAGCACGCCAGAAGCGAAAAACACTCTCACCGGCCGTCAAGGGAGGTCGGGCAAGGAGAGTCGAGAAGAGAAGAATCTCGAAGGACACATCGCACCAAGGAGGTAGACCCCAGAGAACATCGGCATGTTCAAAGGCAGGAGTTGTGCTTCGATGCGACCAATGGAAAAAGGTCGAAAAGGGCTCACAATGAAGCTGAGAGCAGTGCACCTAAAAGATTGAAATCAGGAGATAGCTGAGCTCCTGGGCAGACCAAGGAGGACTTGAGAAATTACCTCAAGAGGAAGCAACAAAATGCCGAGGCAACTTCCCCTGTTAAGCCGAGAACACCATTCTCGATGGAGTTGGACAAATTTTAGGCACCAAAAAGATTCAGTATGCCGAGGTTCCAGATATACGATGGGAAATCGGACCCCAACTTTCACGTTGGATTATACCTGAACTCGATGGCATTGTACACTGGGAACGAGTCGTTGTTCTGCAAGGTGTTCCCTTCATCCTTCGGGGAGATTGCATCGAACTGGTTTCACAAATTGCCGAAGGGAAGTGTGAAGACCTGGGAAGGCCTGGCTGAGATGTTCGTGGCCAGGTTCCTAATAAACAAACTATAGTCATTAAGGGTGGACGCCCTGATGGCTCTAAGAATCAGTGAGGATGAAGGCCTTGGGGCCTACGTAAAAAGGTATTATGAGGTGTTCAACTGAATACCCGAATGCAACCAAGAGGTGGCGGTCGTGTCTTTCAAGAACGACCTGAAAGATGATTGCGCACTACGAAAGTCATTGGCAAAGACATTACCAAAAAGCATAGAGGAGCTCATGGCTAGAATTGAGAAATACACCAGAGCCGAGAAAGGCACGCTAGGGATAAAGGCGACAAAGCAGGAGAAAGCAAATGGCTCGCCGAAGTGAGGCCGAGGTAACAACGGATCCAACAAACAAGAGATAGGACTGAGAACCGCACAAGCAGTCACGACTGTATTCCGAATCCCAATTCACAAAGTCTTGGATAAAATCCGAACCCAACCCTATTTCAGAGTGCCGACAAGGATTTCAGGAGAGTTTATCGGAAAAAGCCTTGGGAAGCATTGTGCTTACCATAACGAAGATGGGCATCTGACTCAGGGTTGCAGAGCTCTGAAGTCACACCTAGAAGACCTGGTAAGGCAAGGCCATTTGAGAGACCTTGTAGATGAGGCTAGGACAAGGGAAGAGCAAGCAAGACTTCTTTAGGCACCAGCAGCTCCACTTCTCCCAACACAGCAGACGCAGGAAGGCGGACCTCGGGTAATTAATGTGATTCACTCGAAGGTCAACGAAAATGAAATTCGGGGGGGAGACCCAGAAGGTAAAACACCTGTAGCACGTGTATCAGGTCAGGCAGAAAAGACCTTGGGCTGAGGAGTGCCAGGGACCAATGGTGTCCTTTATTGAAGCCGACCTGGAGATGGTCCAGCATCCGCATAACGATGCGTTGGTAGTATCCCTCCAGGTTGGGAAGTGCCAAGTCAAGCGCATCCTAATTGACCAAGGCAGCTCTTGTGACATCATGTATGTCAAGTGTTACAAAGAGCTTGGCCTTTACCCAGATGATATGGAGCAATCCAATAGACCAATGGTCGGGTTCAATGGAACACCGACATGGCCACTAGGAGTAGTAAGCTTGGATGTGTAGGCTGGCACCAAGAAAATAAAAACAGAATTTACCATAATCGACACACCCTCCATTTACAACGTTATCCTGGGAAGGCCATGGTTGCATGCAATGGGGGCTGTTCCCTCAACATTGCATTAACTATTGCAGTTCCCAACAGAGCATGGGATAGAGGAGGTCAAAGGAGATCAGCTGCAGGCAAAAAACTACTCTATGGCAGCAATGAAATCCACCTGCAGCATACGAAAACCAGAAAGGGCAGAGATCGAAGACGAGGACATGGAGGTCCTAGAAGACGTCGGTAAGGAGCTAGCCGAGAAGAGTGAAGAAGCCCTAAAGAAAATCCTCGTCCAGCAGGAAGACGAAAAACGCTTCTTCCTTCTCGGCTCGGGCTTAACCAAAGAAGAGGAAAATGAACTGGAGGCTTTCTTAAGAGCAAACATTGAAGTGTTTTCCTGGACGCCTTACGAAATGCCAGGCATTGGCCCCGAGGTCACTTGCCATAAACTGAACGTAGACAGGTCGGCCAAACCTGTAATCCAATGGGCAAGAAGACCGACGTTGATGTATGTTGAGGCAGTGGAAGAAGAAATAGATAGATTTTTGGAGGCCCAAGCCATTCGAGAGGTAAAT